ATTGCTATCGGGATGATAAGAGCATTCCATGGAATATAACAAAAAGTGTATCTCGAGCCGGTTTCTCAAACTTACCCCACCTTTAAGTGAGATTAAAGTCCTTCATTTATCAGAAAAGCAACTATTTTGCCAGGTTGGGTCATCGCCCGCTCTCAGACTCTCTTAAGTTTCTTTTGCAAATATATGACTTTTTGATTTAAAACATCACAAGATTTCACCTCCTTTTTATACTCATCTGCACCAATGCCTCGTATTTGAGAAGATGTTTGTAGCTTTGTCCTGTGAGAACCGCATATCTTTAAAAAGTCAAAATGTTTGTTCTCAGAAAACAGCCCTGTTCTCAGGTTGGGTTGATACATTTTCCAGCTGATCCAAGAGTCCTTGAAATACTTAATTCAGCTTCAGAAGAAGTATCATTTTCTGAGACGTTGACATGTTTGAGCCTGCAGAAAGAAACTGTTGCAGCAACAACACGCTGAAGTCTGTCTGTGTGTGCAGAGAAACAAAGAGAGGGGATTGTGAAGTCATTGCCCTGTCTCTGGAGACGGTTTAAAGACTTTGGATCTGAAGAGAAAGTAAAATCAATGAAGCAATCAGTCAGGATTTAATAGAGCATGAGGAAAACGTTGGCTAGAGTCAGCAATGCATCCAACAATCGTGGAGATATTTCAGTCTGAAAGTAAGAGGGGGACTGGGAGGTATTTAGTGTCTGAAGTTGTGTGAGGTACTTATCATAATAATAATAAATAATACAAATCTATTTACTAGTGCAGAGCGTGTCAGGAGTGCGCTCATGATTCATGGGTTTTGAAGTGAGTGTGCACACGTTTACGGTACAGTCTACACGTCATGAGTGCATTTTAGGACCTCTAAAAAAAGCCAGGTTTAGTGTGTTTGCTCCGATTTGATGGAAGAAAGCCAAAGTTCAGACTGATCAACAAACAACACGTCTTCATTTAAAAGACCCACGCAATTGAGCAGCTTCAGCAACCTGTACCGCAAAGGTGCGAATAAACGAGCAACGTGTTTACCCCAGAGGCTCATTTCTATCCCCGCTAACGGACAGGCCTGTTATTTTGGGAACATTGTTTTTTAAAAAGGGTGTGGTGGTGGTCATGTTGTCTGGATGTTGATGCACCTATATGTCCGCTAACCGGAGTCGGAACGGACCAGGATTCAGTTTTCCATGGAGACGCTGTTCCAATGGCCTCACACGGGGCACCGTATCCCCATTCGGTATTTAAAACAGATATAACAAGTATGAGAATTGTACAGGGTACCTTTATATGACGGAGATACTCTATCTGCTTATCGGACATAGAGCTGGGGTCCTCAGAGTGACACAAATGTGAAATTGAAGACACATCCATTTTTTAAGTTTATTAAAAATCCCTCAGACAACATGTTTCACAGTTTTAGATTAATACAAAAAATAGCTTTGAAAGTGAATTTCAGAGTTTAGAAGTGGAGCAGATTAAAACCAGACATGTCAATAAAAAACTTGACTCTTCAACGATCACCATACACTCTGAGAAATCAACAGTTATTATATATTTATAAAATGATTAAACTAAAATCTATGCATGCTTCAATGTCCAATGAAAAAAATAAAAAAATAAAAGTTTTTGACTAAAGTAAGGACAGTTGAAGAATCACATCAATATCATTTCTAACCAGTTCCCCTTCCAGGACAGTAAGAGTGCTTCCACATGTGTTTTCTTTCACAGACAGATGGTTAATGTTTACATGTTTATCCCACTCATTTTGTGTAAACAAGATAGCTTTCTGAACCGAGTCGCCTGCACACCAGCCATGTAGAAAGAAATACCCTTATGACGTTTCATTTCGTATACAAACAAAAAAATATATACAGAAATATGTTTTAAAAAATATGCGGCATCTTTTTTGGAGCTTTCAGAAGCAAGTCATTGTGTAAGTGCTCCAGATGGAGATCCACTCTGCAGGGTTAGCACGGCTAGCTTCACAGTGATGCTATAACAGCGGTTAGCATCCACCACTGAGACGCAGGACATTTGAGGCTCTGGCTGAATGACCGAGCCTCCAGTGAGAGCGCCGGACCATGCACAGAACAAGAAGAAAGGAAGGAGATCCGCTGCTTTCTTTATGGTGGCTTAGAAAAGTTTGGTGCAACCGCCTCAACACCAAGAGCCCGACTGAAGTAACTTGAGTCTTGGAGAAGTTAAAATAAACTAAAATCTGAACTTGAAAACCCAGAAAAGTGAATATAAAGAGATTATATCCGTGAGTACAACGAGCGGGAGTGGTTAATACATCGTCTTTGTCCCAATACATTGATCAGCTTATGTACATCCACTGGAGTGTGAGCGTTAGTGAAGCAATACAACATGAGAGTCTGATTATACAGGCCGACAGATCCTTTACATGAACTGCAGTTTTGTTAGCGTAGCAGCTTCCACGTTAGCATTCTATTTGAACTCTTGTTCTGCTTCGTTGGGCGTCTTTATTTCCCTGCTTCCTCTCGCTGTGTGTCTTCAGGTTTTGATGCCCTCCAGCTCCTTCTCTTTAGACGAAGCGCTCACCATCGCATACCCTCCCCTCACTCCTTTACCCTCCATCTGCCCGGCCCTCCGGCGCAGGACCACGATGGTCAGCAGGAAGCAGAGCAGCGCGCCGCACACAAACACCACCTGCAGACCCAGAAACCTACACACACACACACACACACACACACACACACACACACACACACACACACACACACACCAATAAATATATAGCAACAAGCAGCATAAATACTTTTAGACAAAACAAATGTAAAAGCACGAGACAATAAAACCATACTTGTAGCCGGACTGAAAAACTCTCAAACACGATGTAAAAACATTTAAAAACTTTGGTTTTAAAAAGCCAGATTATTGAAAAACTACTGGACATATTTTAATCAAACTTGGTGGAAGTGTGAAGCAGAGACTAAGGAAGAACCTATTTACATTTTTAGCTGATCTGAATCAGGACTCCAGCCTAACGTCATGATTTCTAGACGGTGCGAAACCTCAAGAATCAGCCAGGCCGAGCTGCTGAGTAAACGCTTCCTCTGAGGAGGTTTGTTTTAGGGTTCGTCACCAGGATCAAACACAAACTATTGCACAATTTTTCATGAAACTTGGTGGAAGTATGCTGCATGGACCCAAGGGAAAACCCCTGTTACATTAGGAGGATATCTGAATCACGGCTCCAGACTGAAGTCAAGAGTTTCCAGGGTCAAAACCTCAAGAATCTGCCAGAACCAGAAGCTCTTCATTCTGCCAAGGAGGTCGTGTTTTTAGTTTGTTGGTCTGTTTATCAGAAGTACACACTCAATAAGTACTAATACAGGTGAGACGAGGCTAATACACCCACGTCTCACCTGTCATATCATGGCTTCACAAAATAAAAAATAAATTGAATTATAAAAAATGAAAAATATATAAAGAAATATATATAAATGTAAAACAATTTTAAATAAAAATATTTGAATACAAATAAAAAAAAATATATATATATTTAAAATGAAAATGAAATTTAAATATAGAAAAATATAATAGAAATGTTGCTGACCTCTGCCTGAAGCGGTCCAGGTCGTAGTACTGACAGGAAGTCTTCTTGTCGCACTTCCTGCCCCACAGGATGCAGGTACTGTCAATGACGCTGCCGTACAACACCGGGCCGGGCATGAACGCTGCAAACACACACACACACACACACACACACACACACAC